TTAAATTAAAAAAAAAAAAAAAGAAAAGGAAAGGCCGACACGAATTTCTTTGCAGTTTCAACAATCTAAATTTGCGGTGTCCTGTTCCAAATCATTGATAAAACAAAAGAATCTATGTCAGGTCTGACTGCTCTTGTCTCCAATGTTTCATCAATGATAGTAAACAATTAATGCTTGTTGGATTAATAAGCTAATCAATGATAGTAAACAATTAATGCTTGTTGGATTAATAAGCTAATCATTGCTTCGATTTTGCTATAAAATCTCTATATTATGTCTCTTATGAACATGATTTTTAGAGATTGCAACTAATTAGATAACCTGAATTGTAGAAATAAGATAACCTGATTTAAATACAAAATCTGAAAATAACATACTTACCATTTGGAAATAAATGTCTGTTGATTAATTTGTTCGAGGTCATGAACTCTTGTTACAAACTCATGCATACAACAGAGAACTAGAAAACTCATTCAATCTCTCCCCTTCTCTATTATTCATTGTCATTGTAATTTCTTGGTGTTCAATGAATAAAGATAGAAGAGATAGTCTTCTACATTCTTTCTTGAGTTTCAGACATAGACAAGATGGAACTGGAAAGGTTTTGCAAGTGAAAATCATTGATAAGAAAATGAAGAGGACAAAGAATAGTTCATTTACCACATCCTTCATTCCTTCTACATATGCATTCATGTTATGCAAAAACAGAAAGAGAGAGAGAGAGAGAGAGAGAGACCTTTCATGTTTGCTGATATCATTGGTGAGGGAGCCAGAGACTAACCACAAAGCTTTCAAAGACAACGCAAAGATGACAGAAAAGCAGTGAGGTTTCATGCATTTATACGTAAAAGATAAAAGAAGGCTAACAAGTTCATGAGGTTGACTGAATAGGATGGGAATTCGGGTCCATGTTTTAAGCAAGAGGGGGATCATGTGTGTCTGTCGTGCACCAATATGCTTAGAATCAACAAATTGGAATTCTGCAAATTCTCGTGATCACAACAAAGTGTTATACTGTCGAGGAATTCATTGAAAAATCATGACATCTTATATCGACAGCAGGCATATTTAGAATCGAGTTAACCTGTAGCTAGGCTGTCCCTGAAACCTCAGAGAATAATAGCCACAATTAGCAACTAAGTCCCTCAAAATACAAGCAAGCTAGCCATTTCTTACAGACACCAAATCCTTCCAACTCACGCTACTTAGATTTTCATTCAATCAAAGGGGAAATTTTCATACAAAAACATTTACATTCATCTCTATCAAATCATTTTGTTTACAGTTTTCATTAGTTTGTCTGTACGGGAAAACAGTTGAAGAGAATATTAGCCTATATACTCACTTACATAGGAAGATCTATACATTTGGATCACAAAAAAACATATTTTACAATGAGAAGCTTCAGTTCGAAAATAACCTGATTCTATTTGTAGATATGGTAACTCCACTTCACCAAGGTAACAATATAGTTTCAGATTTCACAAACTATCGGAATCATCTCCTAGTGTGGAAAGAGAAAATGGGGCAATGGCTACATTGAAACTCGGTGAGCCTAATCTGTCAATGTGTTTCATCTCAAAGTCTCCTTCCTGCATTACAATGAACCCAAGGAAATTAGAACTTCTAGGAATGCATTTTAGCACATAGTCCAAGTAGTCCAAATAGTTCAGGACTCATTCACACAGAAGGGCATTACAAATGATAAAAATCAAACACAAAAGTGGCACAAAAGACATGCATAGAAGGGGCCAAGGATCCTTATCAGTTTGCCTCAGAATTGAAGCTTTCACACCCTCAAGGAAGTGGAGAAAATAACCATAAAGTGAACTACAGTCAAGCAACCTGACTCACTTTTATCAGTCAGCATACCGATTCTACGATGAATATGCCATAGGAAGATTATTACTAGGGCTGCACAAAAATAACTAAGTTCCACTCAAAATATTAAACTATAAATCCCAACAAATAGGAAGCTTAATGAAAAAAAATCCAGCATATGCTTTGCATTGTCTGTCAAGCTATCCATTTATTTCAACCATTTTCCCCTACCCAGGCTTTCAACTTGTTGCATATTAAGAAAAATTGGCTTATATTAGGTAATAAAGCAGATTAAAACCTTGAATGTGAGCTTTCTTCATTGAAAGCAATTTAGTCAATAACTAAAAAAGATTACAGCACGTTGCATCACTTAAATAATGATTAAACATTATGATCAAAGTTCTTGCATTGTAAATCCCCTAAATTGAAAAAAGCAACTTGAAAAAGGAAATTCTTTTTCTAATACCATGAATTAAACGGTAGTTCAGTTTTGACAAAATTAAACAACTTTTCCAGTGAGAAAGAAAGCAAACCAAAGGGCAGGCCCCTCTTACCATTCTGCCACTGGGCGTGCTTAATGGGCAAGCAGATGAGTATTCGAAACCTGTTCTGGGAAGAATAACTGGCTGTTCACCAATAACTCCCATCCCCCTGCAGTGAAAGAATTCTACAAGCTCAATATGATGGAAATTAAGGAATAAAAACTTCCATCTGGTACTTATAAAACAGTGAGGGGAAAGACTGAAACTAAGCTATATTAACAATGATAAATAAAAGATAGCATAGAAGATAATAGAGTTAACTCACCAAGCATTTTCAGTTTTCCCATTGGCATCCGTGATAATCCAATGCCTTCTGAGAAGCTGAACAGGACGATCTGAGTTATTGGTTATTCTTATTCTATATGCAAAAAAGTACTGGCCCCTCGAAGGCAGACTTCGCCCCTCTATGTACACACTCCTAACTTGAACTCTGATTCCCTGAAATATCACAGAATATTTGTATTAGATTGACAGTCTTATGGTTCTTCCATTTCACCTTTAATAAACAATTTTCCGTAATTCAATGTTGGCTCTGTCTTAACAGATATAGATAAAACACCTTTTTTTTTTAAAAAAAAAAAAACAGCTATAGATTCAACAGATTCCACAAAGCCAAACGTCTCACAAGTTGGAAACCTTACAGACCTTACTACATTCACTTGGTAAGGACTGAGGATCCCAAGGCATACATCAACTTAGAATTTGATCAGAGAATCAAAAAAAAATTTGAAAAGAGTAGCTAACTTAAAAATCTGGAGTCTTGACAACAATAATGGCCAAAATGAACTTTCATAGCTAAAATATAATTTTAGAAAGCAACATGGAAGACATTAGTTATCCAAAATGCCCAAAGTTATATAAAAGAAGTTGAGATTTTGATAACCCTAAGGTACAAGAGAAAGTTGGGAACAATTGTCCCTTTTAGAATCAGATCACACCTTCAATAAAGACATCACACAATACCGAAAGATCTCTAAGAAACTTAAGGCTTCACTCACTCATTGCTTGTACTACTTATCTTTTACTTTCTCAAATGATGCTATGAAGCAAAATCATACTAGATTAAAATGAAAAGAAAAGTGACTAAAAAGTAAATTGATTCAAATATAATGGAGCCCTAGAAGGCAAGTGGAAAATTTTGAAATAAAATAATTTTTTGAAATTAAATATTACTAAAAATAATGTTAAAATATTATTATTATTATATTCACTGCTGAATGTAGTCATGAAGGTGAAGTATATGGCTAACTAGAATGCATGTGGAAATTGGTCATTACAGTTAGATTAGCCATATAGTCCATCTTCATGACTAAATTCAGCAACGAATATAATAATAATATTTTAATATTATTTTATTCAAAAAATATTATTTTTATTCCAAAATTTTTCACTTTTATTCTAGGGCTCCAAAACATCTTAGTTGGCCCCAATCTACTTCCATATGACCTTTTGACTCCACTAATTCAGCCTCTAATAAAATAGTATTATTTTATCATTATTTAATCACATAAATATTATTTTATCCATCATGTTTCCTTCCACCATCTTATGCCTAGTAACACCATAATCGACCTTAATTCTCCTCAATTATCCGTAATTAAGCTCAATTATCTAGTGATAAAAGTACGGGGTGTTACACACATAGAGGAAAATTTTTTATTTTGTTATTTATGAAAATTAAGTTTTTTTTAATTCCTCAAACATATGTTTGCTTTTGTATCCAATGCAGTTCTTAATTTTCACTTCCAGAATCCAAAGGTAAGCAGCAAAATTAACCCCAAATGAAACCTTAGAAGCAAAAACAGGAGGTCAAATCCTGCTCGTAGAGACTAAAATATGATAAAAACTACCCAGCTTATCAACTAACCCAGAAAAAGAGACGTTACATGAACCGATTACATTCCACTAGAATAAAATTTTAAAAAATAAAAACATGCTTTTGAAAACCAGCAATGGCAGTGGTGTGTAATTAGATCATTGTCTTACCAAGGTTGTTGCATCACTTGAACATTTCAGGAGAGAATGAGGTGCAATTTCCTTCAACTCATCACGATATCGAGCTGCATCCTGAAGAATTACAGAAAAGGCAGCAGCTTCCTCAGGTTAACAAACACATGCACATATTTTATTATCCATAAATAATCTCTAACTGTCTGACATTAGAAATTAAAACAGGAATTGGGGGAAAATGTATAAAGAAAAGTAGGTCATTCTCCAGTGTAGAAAGGAATCTTGAAAGAGATTATGAGCCTAAAAGAATTGAATGTCAGCTACATCCAGATCCATATGACTATGGGAAATGAATCTGGAAAGAGACAATGAGCTTAAAAAATGACTTTTGAGTTCAACTGCATAAATGAAGGACAAGAAATAACACAGGTAATAGTATTGAAAAACAGACACAAAGGCCATCACAATGCGCAAAAGCACTCAAGAAATAAAATTAAATCCTGAACCTGACTTAATTGCATACAAATTAAAGAAGCAACCACATACATGTCTAAAATACATCATGCTACAACTGTGGTAGAAGTAACTTCGTCTCCAGAAGCATAATGGCCAAAATTTTAGGCAAGATTCCTTGGTCATTTCTCTTAGGTACCTAAATGAACTAAGTCAGGTGTTAAAAATTGCAGACCCGAAAAATAAAACAGGCATGAGTTTCATGTGAAGTCAGCAATTTCACTCATTTGACTTATTTTCATTGTGAAATCCTAGGAAAAGAACACATGGAGCCTTACTTAACTTTTTTCTATAAAGTAAATGGATTCTTGTTCCATCTTAAACTGCAAGATTTCAACAATTGTGATTCAGATAGCATTTCTAACTAAAAAAGCCACATCCCATGGTTCCGAACTGCCAACACTTCTCATTTAAGTCACAAAATCAAATTGAACAGGAACAACAAGAAGAAAAAAAAGCTGCCCATTCAAGAATCTTGGGGAAGTACCTCAAATCTTTCATCAGCAACAGCCTCTCGAATCAACCTCCTAAGTTTCAAAACAGGTTCTTCTTCCTCAAACATTTTCAGAGAATCACGTATTCTTGCTGCTTCTTTATAATCCTAAAAGCCCAAAGAAAACTCTTACTTCGGTTTAAAAAGGAAAAAGAAATAAAAAGACCCAAAAGGCGCAAAACAGAAAAAGAAAAGAAAATAACCTCAGATTTAGCAGCGACCTGCATTTGCTGTTTCAGCATTGCATAAGTTTGGCTCCGGGATACATACGAACTCTCATTCGGAGTCGGGTTCGGGTTCAAACTCGGACTCTCCCCTCCACCATTCCCGCCATTCCCGTTCCTCTTCACCGCACACGCCACTATCCTACACCTCCGAACACCAGCAGCGCCGCCATTCCAACAACCCCACCCAACCCTTCTCGTCCTCACAAAGTCTAGATCTGTAGCCAATCCGTGACCGACCCGACCAGGAAAACAGTTCCTCCTCGTTCTCGCATTCAAATCAGTAAAAACCTTAAGGCTCAGGGAATGCATTTTGTATTTGTACGACGGAAAATTCAGAATTTTCCGTCACTTTCTCCCGCTTTACTCCCCAGAATTTTCCCGGAAAATTTTTTAAAAAAATAAAGAGGAAGAATAATTTTGGTGAGAGTATAACGCTGCGTAAGACAGCAGCCGCGACACGATTTTCACGGGGTCGGGAGTATCTATGTTTGGAAATTGAAGTTACAAAAATAGCCTTGGTTTTGGCAAGTTCAAGGTCGAGAAGAGGGGTAAATCTGGAACTTAATGGGTTTTGTTGTCGGTCTCTGAGCCACAAGCCAAGTATATTTTGCTGCTTATGGCAGAGAACGATTGCACGTGTGGAATTTCTGTTCGTCCTACGCGGCGGAATATGAGGTTGGAATCTTCTAAGAATCTACCAAGAATCTACCAGCCGTCAGATTAAATGTGAACGCATTGATGGGCCAATTGGGCCTAACTTTCGGATCCAAACATGCCTTATCCACGTAGAAACTAGTACTGTGTATAATCACGAGAAATAGTAAAGATTATCAATTAATATTTGTTAAGGTGATTTTTATAAAAAAAATTTAATTGATGTATCATTTTTCTTAATGAAAATCATGCCTTAAATGAAAAATTATTTCTTAAAATAGTATTTTAATTAATCTTGACGAGTGTTTATAGACAAATGTTAACCTGATTCGATTGTTATTTATTAAAAAATAATTTCTTTTAAGGCTTGAAAATCTTCTAGTTTATGATCAACAATCTTGTTAAGAATATTATTTTCAGACAATTGAGCAGTTAGTCTCTAAATAAATATATATGTGTATTATGTACAATTGTGCAGTTAATCTCTAAATATATATAATTATATATGTATATGTATGTATTATGTTACTACGATCTTATATGATATCCTTAAGAAACACATTATTAGATGAGGTTGATTTTTTTTTTTAAATTGAAAAAAGAGAATTCGAATCTTATTCTTTTAAGTAGAAGATCATATACCAATTAATAAGTTAAATGCTCGGATACAGATGAGAATGATTTGTTGTTGGGACTGAATAGATGATTTAATATAATGATATTGTTTTTTTTCTTCTTATCACCCATAGTTTTATAGTGTTAAGAATGCACGTATATCATGAGGGCAATCATTTGTTATGATTTATAAGCAAGTAAAATAGCCAATTTGATTCAACCTTAGAAAAATATTTAAATATATAAATAGCTTTTTTTTAAAAATAATTAATAATATTTTCTTTTAAAATTTTCTAATTTTTTGAGGAAATTAAGCTATATATAATCCAATTTCGAATTTATTAATAACTTAGCAATCGATAAAACACACATAAGTTTTGTACCTAAACATAAGCTTCTCCTACTAAAATCATCACACTATTAGTCATTGATTCACCAAGATTTGCTTTCATCAATGGAATATCAGTGAGTTTGCATTTTTTTTTTCTTCTTTATGGGATTTGGGTGATGTTATTAGTTTGGTTAGTGCTCATCATCTTCCAACATGTGATCCACGCCTTTAATGATTAATTAGTACCTAACCCTCTTTACCACATAAGCACATTTGATTATCTTCTGACTAAATATCTAAAAGAAAACTCCTGAATAATCATCATTTGCTCGACTAAAAATGAGCCGTTGAATTTTGATTTATACTTGAACAAACTCATAATCAAATCGCTATTAAATTTAATGTCGGTTGATCTTTTGTCCACCCACATAATAACTTATGTGACCAAATATGTTTGATTTTTTCAATCACATCAACTTGTTAGGTCATATGCCACACAAGCAAAAATGATCCATTGGTATTGAATCTAATGAAAGTTAAATTTTTATTAAGGTAAGAATTTGTTTAGACTTAAACTAAAGTTTAAGGGTTCGATTAAATATAGTAAAATGTAAGGAGTTTAATTGAATGAAGGCTATTTTACTTAGATTTTTTTTAGGGCTTATGCCTTATCTTTTTTACTATCATCGATGTATAAAATAAAATGATTTATATTTAATGAATTGTAAATTTCTAAATTTCTAACAAAAAAATTCATACTAATTTCATGTCCAAATTATATATATTTATTAATTTATTTTATTGCTTATTTTGTTACATGCTGATGCCAGTAAGCAATTAGCAAAATTTGGTTAAATCAAAAATCTTAGAAAATCCAGTTCAATTATTAATGAATTGCTAACACTTTTAATCTACCAGTAATCATGCTGCTTTGTGGTCCTTTCTTTTTTAAAGCAAGTTTTCATATCTTATACTGAAACTGAACTTGTGCATGCTGACGAGGTAAGATCCATAGAAATGTTAGACAGAAAAATAAATAAATATCAAATAAAAATACGTTGATTTCATTTAGTTTGGATTTTAAAATTTAATTCAATTAATTTTAATAAAAATTCAATTAATTCTATGGATGAAAGTTTAGATGAAGCTTGCCATAGAAAAAATAAATAAACAATTTGATGGTCTAAATTGAGATACGTTGATTTTGATTATTTTAAATTTTGAATATAATTTGATTGAGTTCAATTATTTGTTGGAAAAGTTTAATTAATTTATTTTTTAAAATTTTAAAATTAAATCAATGAATATATCTAATTAATATCGGAGCATGTAATTCCTATTTAAAAAGTAAAATTTGAATTTATTTTTTATAATTTAAAAAATGATCCCAATTATTATTTCAGAAAAAAAAATATTAACTCAACTGAGCAAATGCTCGTCTCAACATTAAACTATTGAGTACGAATTGAGACGAACGTGTGGATGAAGCCCGCAGCACAGCACGTCTCTAATTGGTCAGAGCACGGTTGAGTTGGTCGGTCAGTTGTGTAGGGGTGTCCGCGAATCACGGACCAACTTTTCATGGGTTGGGGCCAAACACAAAAACGTGAGCCTGAAACCAAGCGAGCCCTGGGACCCGCAAAGCTTTGATGATTCTTGGCCCTTTCCGCGCACAGCCGTGTTTGTTTTGCTGGACGTTGGCTAACTCTGGCTACCTAGCTGGCTGGCTGGCTCCTGATTCTGCCCCCACCCACAATCTCTCTCTCTCTAATTGATTGCTTCTTTTCTTGATTTTGGTTAAGTAGAAAACTTCCTTTAAGCTGGTTAGCATCAGCCTGACCACCACCCCACCATCATCTGCTCACCACCCAATTAAGCCTAAAGAAAAGCATGTCTAAATACAAAAATGTCCTCTTACCCTATTCCATTGATATTATCATTCCAGGCCTTGTAGTTTTGGAATGGCAAATTTGGCTTTTTGTCAGGTTACCCACCAAGAAAATGAATAGCAATTTGCCGTTTGTGTTCCCCCCAAGAAAGAATCATTGTTCTGATTGAATTTTTTAACTTGAAATGATACATTTTCTCTGTAGGAACTATACATGGAAATTGATACCGAAGGGTATGAGAAAATCAAGAACAGAGCCTTTTCAACCTGACCTGCCATCCAACCTCCCAAAAGGGCCAATTTAGTCAATCTGTCATCAACCAAGAAAAAAAAAACAATTACTGGTGGGAAAAAGGAAAAGGAAAAAGAAAAAGAAAAGAAAAGAAAAGCTGAGGATCATAGAGAGCCATGAAGATTGCACCAACAAACAGCAAGACCAATAGACACAAACAACAGCAGCAACAACAACAAGGAGTTCCCGTACAAATGGAATCATCGGTTTCCTTGTTAACAACTATAACCACTCACACCCCATTCTCCCTTTGCTTTTCCCTATGCCACCACCACTACCATCTTCTCTCCCTCTTTATTTATATTTCTCTCTTCTTCTTTGCTTATTCCCTCTTAGCTGTCTTCTTCTTTTCCCATTGTATCTTGTCAATTTTTGTTTCGTCCTCCACCTCCCCAGATCGGTTTCTCCACCACTCACTTCGGTTCCAGGTACCCTTTTGTTGGAGAAGAAAGAAATTTGATTTTCTGATGTGGTTCCTTTTGCTTGGAAGATATGGGTGTTTGTTCTGTTGTCTGTCTAGTATTTTTCAGGTTTTTCTTTGTGAAACGAAATCCCAAGATTTGGGATTTCCTTTGTTCTTCTTTTGATTGAAAAATGGTATATTATGTTACTCATTTTGATCACAGGAAAGGGGAAGCTTTTTCAAATATGGCAGTTTGAGTTTTTATTGTTACTTACCAGTTTTATTCTAGATGTTCTGTTTATTGTTAGTGATTCATGTACTTTATTAACAATTGCAAGATTTCTTCTTTTGCAATGATGCTATGGCTAATGCTGATGCTATTGACGGATTATATTTGGCTGTTTCTAGGAACATGTTTGGAGGCCATAACAACAATCCGGTATTGCCTGTTTTCCTTGAGGAAAATCGGTTCCACTACGAAAATAATGCATTGCCTCGGCTACAGTTATTTGGAGATTGTAAGTTCTCCCTAGAAATTATAGTTGATCTTTTGGGTGTATTTTCCTCTTATTGCAGTTAAAAGAAAATAAAAAGCCTCTTGTTATTGCTTGACTTTAGTTAGATGCCATCTATTGCTGTTGATTTGGTGATTGTGTACAATATTTCTCATATCCAGTACCATATATTCATAATACTTTGTTTGAAATGTTTTCCCATAACTTGGTGTATCCTGGTTTTACAAGTTATTTTCTTTGAACCGTACATCTTGGCTTAAACTTTAAGCTTGGATGTTTGGCTATCATGTTACGAAAGTAGAGATTTTGTATTGCTTCATTTTGTAGCAAGTGTGTAAGTCGGTTTAGCTCAATTGTTCTATTGAGCCTACTCAGTGAGGGAGCGTGCTAATGAGGTTATGTTATATCACTTTAGTTTTGAGTATGTTGTGGCCTCATATTCAGGTTTTGGAACTTTCATTTGCTGCTATTTGTTTTAGGTTGAATGCTTAATATTGTTTCAACAATTGGACAAAATCAATACTGTCACTAAGTTTTTGGTGCTTGAGTTTTATTGATGATATGCAACAAATATGGCAATTTTTTTCTTTTTTAATTATATGGTTCCTTTGGAGCTCTTGAATGAATCAAATTCTCTTTGTGCTTCTGCTTATGCAAGAGATTTTTGAATAGTTCACATCATTTGGGAAAATGTTACTTTTTTTACTAATGTATGAAGCCCTTTGTTTCAATCCATTGAAAATTTTGGAACTTTTTAATATTCTTTAAATGTCAAACAAAATACACTTCTAATAGCATGAAGCCTTGTGCTGGGTGCAAAATCCTAATGTATTTCAATATGTGCCATGGCACCTGTTATTTGTGATTTTTTTTTTTTGGTGAAAGGCATTATTTGTGATTGTGGCAGCTTGGGTTGAGTGTTGTGATCATTTGAGTAGCAGAGCTGGCAAGGGTTGTTGCTTTGCTTTCTCACCAATTTGGAATATTTTATCTTGGTGGGAGCAATTGAATTTTTGTAGTTTCTAGGAAGACTAATTGTGTTGCTTGAGGTAGCATGCTCTTAGATCTTTTAATTATCAAAGCCTAAGCTTTATTGGCTAGAATATAGATAATTCTTCAATAAGGCTCAGGCCATACTTTTTATACTGAGTTTAGAACCAAAACCTTCTTTCTACATATTATTTCTATTCAGACTGTTTCTTCCCTTCCAACTTACTCTTCCACACTGATGTTTCCATAGGCCTATATTTGATATGATGTAAACATCTAACAGGGCTGTAATTTACTTTATTTTCAATTATTGCTTTTTCACATTCCTACAATTGACTTTTAATTTTTTATTGTAGTATGCCTGCTATTCCTCTTCAACTATGTTGTTTTTGTTCTAATTTCATAAAACAATGTTGCAATCCCTTACATTCTGGTCTGGCTGTGGTGCAGGCCCCTTCAACAACATGGGAAATGAGAATACGACTTCTGTGAATCGGCCAATTAAAAGGGGTAGGGAGGCAGAACCGACTCTCACACAACAAAGGCATCACATATCTGTGAATAATAACCTATGTCTCGATGAAGCTGGTCAACCTGGTAGTGTTCTGAATCCGAACCCTGTGTCGACTGGATTAAGACTTTCATATGAAGAAGATGAACGCAACTCTTCTGTTACCTCTGTAAGTGGAAACATGACGACTTCCCTCCCTGTTATGCTGTCTCTGGGTGATAATCTAAAGGTGGAAATTGATAGGCAGAAAGAAGAATTTGATTACTATGTCAGACTTCAGGTAATAATCAGGTCCATGATTTTTATTTTATTTTATTTTTTGCTTTTTAGGCAGAATGTGCATCATTCAGCTTCTCATGGTTCACATTTAAGAAATATGCACTCAGTAATCAATCAACTTGTTATATGTGGGCAATAAGCAATCAATAAATTTCCTTTCTAGTTTTCTACACAACAAACAAATGTGAGTTTTCTAGCGGTTGTATAATGATGATGGTGATACGATGGTGGGATTTATTTGCAAGACTGAACCAGGAATATTGTGCTGGTAGATTTTTTTTTTTTTAACACATGCAGTCTCAAAGCTGATTTCTCTATTTTCCCTTCACTCCCCCTGCCCCATATATGTTTCCAACAAAATGATTTGAGGCTTGTAAAACAGGATGGCAAAATTAGACTGAAAATTTTACTACATGCTTCAGGACAGGGTAAGAAAACATGCATTTTAGTACTTTACAAGGTTTAATGCTCAGCTTGTGTTCTATGCATGCTGCTGTTTAGATCTGTTTTGCATGCATTTCTTACTTGGTGTTTATATAACAGGCAGAAAACATCTTAAAAGGTGTAAGAGAGTTGAAGCAAAGACAGACAATTTCTTTTCTAAATGCTATAGAAAAGGGAGTAGGCAGAAAATTGCAGGAAAAGGAGCTTGAAATAGAGAACATGAATCGCAAAAACAAGGAACTAGTTGAGAAAATAAAACAAGTCAGCATGGAAGTTCAATCCTGGCACTATAGAGCTAAGTACAATGAGTCTATTGTAAATGCTCTGAAGAGCAACTTGAAGCAGGTAATGGAACAAGGAGCCATGCACAGTAAGGAAGGCTGCGGGGAAAGCGAGGTTGATGATGCAGCCTCATACACAAACCAGAACCATCTGGATGTCGTGGATGGTTCTGGAAATTCATTCTCCTTGAAGAAACAGATTAATTGCAGAGCTTGCAAAATTATGGAAGTTTCTATCTTGTTATTGCCATGTAGACACTTGTGTTTGTGTAAAGATTGTGAAGGCTTTATTGATGTATGCCCTGTCTGCCAGGTAATGAAGACTGCAAGTGTTCAAATATACATGTCTTGAGAGTGTAATGGTGTATGTAAGGGGCATGTAACTAAGCACTTGCACTTTTCATTACCTCAAAATCGAGGAAATTTGTTCCACTGGATCAATGAATTGTTCCCAGAGAAATTGCTGAACTTGAATGAATGGAGTTGCAGTGATCTTTCCCATTCATTTCTCTCATAAATAACCCTCTGGAGGACTCATCCGGATTTTTATTTTGTTGGCTTTTTGTTACAGAACTTCCAAGAACTTCCCTTCCTTGGATCCCGAACAGCTGAAAGCCTAAAACAACTGTTATGCCTGTTAGGTACTCATACTTGGCATTGGTGTAATGTTGGCAAACAAACACAATCATCTATTTTTTGCTTGCCCCTTTCTTATCTTTCAGTAAAGGAAAACAAATTTCCTTTCCCTTCCATTTTTTTATTTTCTTTCATCACTTTTTCCCACTCACCAAATGCAGAAAAATGTGGTCTGGTCCATCTGACGTCAAAGTGCATTTGGTGGGCGGCTGCAGCCCACCACGCTCGCCCCACAAAACCATAGCTGTTGCCAATGTAGCATGCCTTGCCACTGCAAGGTTTGCCTTTTCCAATAGTGGGAATAAACCATGTAGGACTCATCATCAGGCTAAAATGCTCACTCCCAGTCCCATCCATTTGCCCATGGCTCCCATGAATGTGCAGAATCAACATCAACCAATCAAAACATTTAAATAATTTTAGTCAGACCTACCTCAACCACACATTTGGAACAGCCTTTACAAACACTTATTTTTTAGTAGATTTCATTTATAACATAAATTTTCACTAATAATAATAATACTCTTTTCATCTTTTCCTTTATGAAACATTTTTTCAGACACCTGATATTCTTATATTTTCATGATTTTTTATTTTTTAAATTAAAAAAATTGAACATTTATATTATAATATTTCTTAAATTTTAATGTTAAAATATATTAAAAGCAATAATTAGATGTACAAATCCAATCTAAGCAAAGATCTAAATACCATCTTTGTCTCCAGTTCTTGGCCCCTCTTTCCCTCCTACCTACCCAAGTATCAAGCTCAAGCCCAAGCTCAACCAAACCCACCACCGTTTCCTTCAATTGGCTGTAAATTTCTCATCTTCCAAAGTACATCGTACACCCCCACGTGTCGTTTGATGTAGCAATGGCAATACCCAGCATGTAGACGGGTACTCGGGTATTATTCCATTTTATAAACGGTTCAGGTAGTAATTTAAGGACATTTATTGTCTGATTTTAATTATAAATAATAAAATTTTAATAATATTATTATTATTTATTTCAATTTATGAATTATTCATATAATATAAATTTATTAATTAATAAAATATATTATAAAATGATTAAATTTAATTTTTTATTATTGAAATTGAATTGAATCGAATTTTTGTAACGAGTATTGATATTATTATTTTTAATTAAATAAATTTATTGGTACATATTTTAATCGAGTACGAAATTTTCGAAAAAGAATTTCCTAAAAAATAAGTAAGAAAATTGCAGCCCAAACATTGGAATATCCGACCCTCCAGATCCGTTAGCTTTATATTACAACTAAATATTATTTTCCTCACGCTCTCTAAAGGGGCTGCGAGGGAAAGCAAAGCAAGGAGGCGCAACCCGCTGTTCTCTACCAACTCTTTGACGGATTCCCCAAAGCTCTTCTTCTTCTGAAAATCCTTGTCTCTCTTAGCCTGTGTAAATCGTCAGATCTCTGAACGAATTTGGGAGATACAGAAACGAAGATGCAGAGCGCGGCGTTTTCTTTGTCTTCGCCTTCTTCGTTTCCTTCTCTGAAGCCGAGGAAATTCGGTTCCAACCTTAGATTCGATCCTGTTCGCGTTTCGTCTTCTTTCTCCGCTTCCAAACGCCATGATCTTTCCGCTTCGGGCAATGTCGTTTCGGTGCCTGCCTTGCCTAAGCGATCGTGGTGTCTGTCCTCCTCCTCTGGTTTGCCGCTCAGAGCATGGAACTCGGTTCCTTCTGATTCCAAAGCGGAGCGTCTTGAAGTTAGAGCCACGGCGGCCAAGAGTGCCGGTGAAGGCGAGAACGCCGGTAATTTGTCGCGGACGTTGGAGCTAGGATTGCTGTTTGGTTTGTGGTACCTCTTCAATATCTACTTCAATATCTACAACAAACAGGTTCCACCTTCATTTTCCTCACGTTTTGTTCATCTTTCTTTGTTTTTCTTAGTCATTTTGAACATGGAATGTTAGATCACGTCAGCTAATTAGAGACTATTTCCAGAAACTTTCTTTCTAAAGAAAGCTTTAAAAGGAAAAAGAAAAAGAGACAAGAACAGAAATTAAGTTGTAAAGAATTCTTTTTCTGGAAAAGTAAATTCAATTTGAACATAACGGTTCATGCGAAGCATCCGAATGATTCCATTCCGTTGACACATGCAAATCAAATGGATGCTTAGTTATAACACAAGTTATTTCGACGCCGTTTGGTTGTTGGTTTTTGGTTTCGGAAGCAAAAAGTGCGATTGGATGCAAATTGCAGAAGCGAATACTAATATTTTTCAAGAATTTAGAAAAATTAAAATTGAAAAATTTTCCGGAGAACAAATTATATAGTTTTACTGTAATATAGTAATCATGTTAGAACAAGTGTTTCATTATAGTTATTTTTTCATGTATAATGATTTATGATTTTGCGTTTAAGTATTTGCTTTTGTTTTGTTGCATTTTTAGGAAGCAAATTGCAACATACAAAATGGAGTCTCATAATGTAATGAAGAGAATGGAATGTGATTGGATTCTGTTTCTTTGTTCACAGGTTCTTAAGGTCTTCCATTACCCTGTAACCGTCACTGTAATTCAGTTTGCTGTTGGGACTGTACTCGTTGCTGTAATGTGGACTTTTAATCTGTATAAGAGGCCAAAAATTACCGGTGCTCAGGTATTTGGGTTCTTATTTTATTTTGTTTTATTTGTTTGTGTGTGCAAATAGTGTGATTCTGTTGGGGTTATTGGTTGATGCTTAATTTTTGACTTGTTTCTTGACAGCTGATGGCCATTCTGCCACTTGCAGTTGTGCATACATTGGGGAACCTGTTTACAAACATGAGTCTAGGCAAAGTGGCTGTTTCATTCACTCATACGATCAAAGCTATGGAGCCATTCTTCTCCGTTGTGCTTTCTGCAATGTTTCTAGGAGAGGTGTGATTTCTTTTTTAGTTGTTGTCTTCAATTTTTTTTTTTCACATTTTCTTATATAAATATAATAGCTCAAGATTATAATTTAAATCAATAATAAGTTTCTTTCAAAAAAAAAACAATAATAAGTTGTATCTGGTTGAGTTTTGATTGTTCTGTAACATCTCTTGAAGTTGCTCAAACTGTTCATTTTATTGTTTGCATGAGTGATTATTATAGTGCTTGTTTTGAATCGCATTTTGGGAGAAAACTGATGCAATTTCCATTTTTGTTTTTTAAGGATAAGTAATGCAGTTTCATATTCTTGATACTATTTGTTGTTCGTTTTTCACATTGGTTGTTCTAACTTGGATTATGATGTTTTCCTATTACAGCTGCCTACTGTTTGGGTAGTTGGTTCCCTTGTTCCAATTGTTGGAGGAGTTGCACTTGCATCTGTTACTGAGGCCTCTTTCAATTGGTAAGAAATTGAAGATGCTAATATGTAATATCTATATTTAACTGCTGAAAATTTTCTTTCATATGCAAATGCAATTTGTTTCTGATTCTGTCATAGATATCTTGATAGCAAGTACTTATTTAATTGGTTACTCTATATCATTGTAATATAACCTTTTTTTTTCCTCCCTTTTCAACCTATGAAGGGCTGGGTTTTGGAGTGCAATGGCTTCCAATTTGACAAACCAATCTCGCAATGTTCTCAGCAAAAAGGTCATGGTTAAGAAAGAGGTAAATTTAGTTTTTGAGATCTGAGTCCTTTTGGTCACTATGGTGCTAACATTTGTTGGAGTGGAAAGTCTGTCTACTTCTTGATTGATACACTGCAATGTGGTCCTGCTAATCTAGTTTGAGAGTTAATTTATGTGCTTTTATATTGGCACATAACCATTTGTTATCATGTGCCAGGACTCAATGGACAACATCACCCTCTTCTCAATAATAACAGTTATGTCCTTTATCTTGTTAGCCCCTGTGGCTATCTTCATGGAGGGTGTCAAGTTTACCCCGTCCTACCTGCAATCTGTTGTGAGTATTGAAAATGAGCTAAAATTGTTTTAATTACCCATTTCACTGTTAACTAAAAAATGTTTGTCTGAATTTCCTTGTAATTAGTTTTATTTTTCTGTTGTCTAACAGGGTTTGAATGTTAAAGAAGTCGTAGTGAGATCTCTATTCGCTGCTCTTTGCTTCCATGCTTATCAGCAGGTGAGGAATTTTGATTTTGCCGGTTTTTCTGTCTTCCTTAATAATCACAAGTATGAATACGTATTCACTGCTTACTGAACTACAAGTTTGGAAAATGAATTAAAAGAGATAAGAGGAAAAGCTGGATTCAGAAATAGTCCACTTAGTGTTTTGGATATCTTTTGTTTTTCTGCTCTTAAAGGCTTAATTTCTTTCAAATACATGACACTCAATGCAATGCTGATTCTTTTTCGTTCCAAACCGTGCAGGTTTCTTATATGATACTGCAAAGGGTATCCCCTGTTACTCACTCTGTGGGCAACTGTGTGAAGCGGGTGGTTGTCATCGTCAGCTCTGTTATTTTCTTCAAAACACCAGTTTCACCAATCAACTCTCTTGGTAAAAATCCTTTCCACTAACATATCATCGAAAAATATCAAGCGCATTTTGCCGGTTCCTCGTTTCTTTCGCTCTTTTAAGCCTTTCTTTAGTCTGAGATCATACCCTGGTGGTTTTTTGCAGGCACCGGAATTGCTCTTGCCGGAGTTTTCCTATATTCTAGGGTGAAGCGCATTAAGCCAAAGGCAAAGGCAGCTTAAAAAAATTTTGTTGCTGATAAATTGAGTCTGTTAGATGATATGTCGCCTGCCATTGATTCAAAGACTTGTTTGTAGTTTAGGCCAGCAACATAATTAGTCATTCTGCTTTTTTTTTCCCGGAATAATCTTAAATTATTTTTTGTGGACTGCCACTTAATTTTATCATGGAGAACAATTCTCATCTCAATTTTACAATGGTTCATCTTTTCATTAATTTTAATATGTAGTATATAAATGTGTACAGTATGCTTTTCAAAAAAAAGTATTTAGAATATAAATAGATATTTATTTATTATTATACAATTGAAAAAATTTAAAAAAAAACTCTCGACTCCTTTTCATATGTAGAACAGATATAGATTAAGGTCAATTTTGATATATTAAAAATGAAAAAATAGCATGTGACTGAATCTACCAAATAAATCATTTTTGGTCCCAACTCTCGGTATAAATGTTGCATTTATTACACCATACCTTATTTCTTGCATTAAAAGCATAACAAATTTTAATAAATGAGAAAAAAAATAAAAAAAACTCCTTCAGAGCTATGAGTTGTCGACGTACTTCAATCATATCCAAGAGTAGTGGTAGGCAATCTCCCATGTATGTCTACATTGACATATACATAGTTACATACATACATACATTGCATGTCAAAACAATTTCCAACAAATCTTTGAGTTGCTTTATTTTATTATTAAAAATCTTTTCTGCAAGTCTGCATGGCACCTGTTTTCTGTTGATGCCACCCTTAATTCTCTAACTTAGCCAAATTCCCTGGAACCAAACCTTAAACCTGCAGTGATAGTTGTCGAGAGTTTTGTCTTGTGCTGGTTTCTGGGTGGCCTTATTACATGTTAGCCTGCTGGGAGATCATCTCCACCAAATCCAGCTCCTTCTTCACTTCATTTTTCATCACCAGAGCCATGTCCATAGAATCAGCTGCTCCAGCAACTTGAGGAGGAGCAGTGGGTATTTCATCAAGAAGAGAATCGAAGCTGCAGCTCTCTTGAAGAAGTTTCTCATCAAAACAAAAATCTGGGACCTCATTAAAATCATATTCTGGCACTAAACGATCGGTGGAGCAGAAATCCAAAGCTTGTGGCTGATGATTTGGTGCTTTGGTTGAAGTGTTCATGTCGGCTGTGGCGGCATTAGTAGCAGTGGAAGGTTTTTCTTGATACCTTGTGCTGCTGCTTGACTCTAAGTTCAAGCTCTTGATATATTCCTGCAAAATGGAACCCCTGGGGTACTTTGAACGACACTTGCGCTTTGAGAATTGCCTTCTTTTGGTTGCATTCCAATGGTTCTTGATGGAGTTCTCTGTTCTTCCAGGCAACCTCTTTGCGATTTCTGCCCATTTGTTTCCTATCTCTATGTGGGCCTGAATCAGGACCTTGTCTTCCTCTTCACTCCATGTGTCCTTCTGTAAAAGCTTGCATCATGGTAAATATTAAAAAGAACTGACAATCTCATCTCGTATACTATATATGTTGGTATGTTCATCATGAAATTCACTTAAAAAATTAACAAAAGTAAAAAGTAAAAACTCTATGGACCTTGATGTCTGGCCTTAGATGGTTGTGCCATCTCTCTCTGCATTGCTTTCCTATCCTTCCAGGCAACATCTGAGCAATAAGAGACCATTTTCTCACGCCATACTGTTCTACCAATTGAATCAAGAGCCTGTGGAAAGCATGCATATGACCAAAACAGATGAACAGAATCTGTTACCAGGAGTAAATAATACATTGCAAATTCTAGTAATATTACAGTGAATTTCATATTTTTAGTTAGTTTAGAAAAGAAAATAACACCATGATGATTATAATTTTACTTTGATATTGATTAAGTTCACGTAATTGTGTTTGAAATGTACGTGCTCTCAATCAATTTAAATATCGATATTATACCGTAAAAACACTAACTAGAATATCAAACCTCTCCTATACCTGTCTTCTTCAATTGTCCATTGTCCCTTGACTACGTTGGACTTCTTACGACCTTTCCAAGTCCTTTTAGTTGAAGCCAATACCTTGTTCTTGTTCATGCCAACTTTCTTGTAGTAAGCATTTTCAGCAGTCACGGAGGAGACTTCATCTGGCACAACGAAATTCACAGGCTTCACACCTTGAAAATCAAAGGGCATGTAACCAATACTGTCTGATCCCATAACAACGTCATCCGAGTTCCTCTGAGAAAGGTTCAAGTACCCTCCACCACCCTGGAAATTATCCATAACTTGCCCATGTCCGGCTGCTCCTCCATTATCTGCAAAAGGCTTACACTCATACAAGTCAACATCATTTGCTGAACAGCCGTAAGGGAATGCATCAAAAGGATCATAGCAAGCTGCCTGGATACCAAAAACAGGATTCGGAGATGACCCATTGACATCAAGAACTTGATGATGATGTTCAAGGTGGTGAATGTCTTGCAAATTGTAATAACCCTTTGATGATGATGAAGGAGTAGTTTCAAAGGGGAACAACTCATCTTTCATAAACATTGGCTGCGGGCCTGGAGTGGCCATGTTTTCTCTAAGCTTTACATCAAGCTCCATCAGGAATTTGATTACCCGGAGAGTTTTCTGGCCATGTCTTTTTCCAGCTTTGAGTTGCTTAATAAGGAGAGATATGGGAAGGCATTTACTACTATTTGGCTTGATCTTGGCCGTGGATTATGGCTTGTATCCCATGGCCAGCATTTGCTTAACATCATGCCTAAATTAAATGTACTGTTTGTATTCATTTTATTGCCACATTTATCACATTTTTTGTTGCAGTATAGATTTTTAAATTAGATAAAGTAAAAGATTTAATTCATAATTAATTACGTGACATTTTCTCTTTTTAATTTTTCTTATTAATATGGTCAAGGGTATATTCATGTTTTGTTTGAGCTTAATTCTCTTCTCGAACTATACTAAATGTATCCATAATTTTACTTTCGAAATACTTATTATATAAGTATAAATCTTACCTTAAATGACAACAAAAGTAGACTCTTCTCTACCAATTAGATTAAGTCGCATAAATAATAGTTTCATTTTTATTCAACCTCAAATTTAAGTATTAAAAATGAAAAAAAAAGAAGAAATTTTGGTTGAATGTAAGACAAAAAGCAAAAAAAAACAAAAGCAACTATATATTTTCAAGTAAACAATTAGTATTAGTAACTGAAGAATATTAAATATAAAATTTTTTTGGGCCAAAGTTAGCTAAAACATATACCTCTAATTAATTTAAACCTCAAAAAATATCCAAGATTGTTTTGTTTTTTGGTTTGGCATTTTACATAATAAATGAGCATTAATTTGTAACTGAAAACTCCAAAACATTAAGACAAACTCTTTAAATCACTTTGATTAATCAGATATATTTGGCTTAAAATCCAGCATCATTAATGGTAATTTTGGTTTTACATAATGAAGGCACAATAAAAACCCATGTTAATTCTCATTGGTTTGGTCAGGGTAACGCACCAGGAGTCCATTGATCTTAAATCTTTTCTGTGGCTGTTCTTAATTTAGTAGTAATTAAGAAAATTAAAGCTTTTGGTGTGTAAATAGCTTCAAAGGGTCAAACAACAATTTCAACAATGGTGTTTACTTGTGGTATAAGTATCAATTTTTTATTTTTTCTCTTATATTATTACTTTTATTTTGATAGATAGTACAGGTGCCGGTAAATTACGAACAATCATTTTTATTTTCGCATTTCATTATCTCATCTTTTCAAGAACAGCTCAAAGATGGTGGTAGGGGTGATGGTCGCCATCTTTGTTATATGTATAAAATTTGAGATATTTAATTTTATTACCCTTTTAATCACCTCTCATGCAAAATTCTGAATCCGACACTGCATCCTTTCGATATGAAATTTCAAGTTCTAACTAGGGATGTGTTCTTAGACACACTATATATGTGATTATTTTTAATAGGAAAAGAAAAACCTAACAACCTTCTCATTTTCCAGGCATTTTTCCTTTTAATCTTCAACTGGTGGTGGGTAATGAAAGACAGATCCCACCAACAAGTTCTAACCTCTCCAAAGCTGTAAAGTACAGACATTCATCCAAGCAAAGATATATGAGACATTAGAAACTTATAATTTTGATTTCCAATTCATCTCCAATACCGAAAAGGAGATTCTATTTCCAATAATTTGAACAATGCAGTTTAATAAATGAAGCTGTTAATGGAAACAGCTTTGGTAAGTTTCTAAACAAAGTACAGCCCATCAAAAGGGGACAACTATTTCCCAGTTGCAACCAGGGAGAGAGGCACACCTGTATGATTTAAGTGGAAAAGAATCAACATATACTTGGGGGAAACTACAAGCATTTCTGTTGAAATGCCTTCTCAGGATTCTTCCCATCAATCTCTGAGTGGTGAGGAAAATCATACGGCATTTCTGCAGCGGAAAGCCATGCTTCATTGAAAACTCTCACAAGTTCCTGGAAGACTACTGCATTGCCTTCTGGTGTCAGATGCAATCCATCTCTGATATAAATAACAAAAATATATTCAGAATGTACTCCATGTAAGATTTTCCATCTACTGATCTAAATCTTAGTGGTGAGTCTTCTAACTGGATAGAGTATTTCTTTCTCAGGGGTTTGGTGTGCCTAATTCCCCAAGAATTAAATAGGTTTTATCTACCATTAGAACTTAAAAGGAAAGTAATTTTGATTTAATAAACGATCTCATCGAGAATGGAAAATTTAATTGAACTTGATAGGATATCGTGCAGTAGATACCACTGTTGCATTGTGTATGCAGAACTTCTTTCACTAAGGGTCTGGTCTTTAGATATAGAGTAGCAAGCTTCTACAAGTAGTTTAGAATACAACAAACCTCAGATATTTTTTCTGCCAACCATCTGTTTCCTGCATCTTGGACCACAGACTGACAGATCGGAGACCCAGTTCCTCAGCCAACTCAACACACCCCCTCGCATAGACTCCTGCCATTTCATTTGTTCTCTCTGGCAATGTCATGGCTTTCTCACTGTAAGTTGCCCTGTAAAACCAAAATAAAAATTATTTGAGTTCTGACATACCAAGAAGCAGTAACATTTTCAGGACAACAGAAGTCCTTATTACAGATCACCTGTGTCTGAGTTGTTGGATTTTCAGGTTCCCTAGATCTCTAGGTCGGGCAACTTGGAAGTTTAGAATTGAAGG